GTGAATAAGGCCTTCTAATCAAGGCGGACACTTAACGTTGCAACAGAAGCTCCTATGCACCAACAAGAGCTGGTATCAGCACCAATAAAGAATCTGGTAAGGAACTGCATTAGAGAACACTTTAAAAAGTCATGGTCTCGCGTGAAGCTTATCAATTTTACCATGACTGCCTGTCGTGACTCGCCAAATTATTTCCAGCGTAAATCAGCTGTAACCATCCTCAAATCTGAAAATCCATTTTCACCCTATTGTTTAATAATCTCCAAGCATGTTACACCATTGTGCACTTCTGTTTTCAAGGAGGATCTCGAAAAATAGTCGACAAACAAATTAATATATCCGCGTGATATATTAGAAAGTAGTTTAAGAGACATTACTTTTGATTTTCAACAGTGGTTCAATGAGTAACGCAGTCTTTCCCGATTTCGAAGAAAAACAGATACGGGGGCTAAAAAGAACAGGGAGAAACTCAAGATACTGGACTTAGCCGACCGGGAGGAATTCTAGAAACCCACTTATCTCTCAAAGTAAGCATTCAAATTACCAACCGATGGCTCAGAATGGTGTGGAAGACTAATGCTTTCGGGAACATTTAGTTTCGAAAGCATGCTAGAAGACAAGTGAAGCAGGAAGAATATGGGCAAATCAACAAAGGGGAATAAATCCTTAAGAGATAAAGAAGGCCATAAAAATCATAAGGAAGATGGACTTCAGACTTAGTCCCCCACCCTATACCTCTGAATCCGTCAGTTACAAAATACATCTGAGTGGCCATAGCATACCTTTGCAGAGGTTGGTAATTCTACAGAATCATTGGCCACAGCATTCATCACTGAACATTGGATGCTGACCCTCACTGTTTAAGTCAACTTGTTTAGTTGAGGGCTTCCGGTCAAGCATCCACGCTATTTGGTACGCTGTCGTGTCACCTTCGTTCGTTCGTGTAAAATCCCTAGATAGTTAAGCAATCATCTCGCACGCTGATTTGGGCCCGAAATATATCTCGTAATTTGGACGATCAATTCTTGTTTTGCTTTGCATTTGGTCTACACGGAACGAGTACTATAGAAGTTGTGGATATTAGATATTGCGTTAGTATACTTCTTACTATCCGTGAACGTCAATACCTTCAGCCTCTAAACTGGTGAGCCCTACCGCGAACTTCATCTTTGGTAACTACACAGGAAAATCCGGTGAGTTCGTTCCATTTTGTGTTTATTTGTGTACTATTTTCAAACTATATATATTTCGCCATGAGTGAACATACTCCTAAGGTCATCCGTATTCGCTCAACTGCCAAAACTATCCAGGTCGTACCATTTGGGCCAGGTAATGCTGAATTATGGATTCAGATAGCTGAGTCTGATATTATATCTTGTGTTAGTTTGCTTCTTACTATCCCTGAACCACAATACCTTCAGCCTCTAAACTTTGTTGTCTGTGCCCTACATCATTCCGCATATAGAAGCGACTCTACCTGGAACGTCAGCTCGATCAGCCTATACTTCGTACCTATGCTTAGAATCTTCCATCGAGTGCCTTTGAGACTGTGACATCAGCTGATTAATTGTCACTCTGAATCTGCCTGGCAGGAAGACGCTGAATATACGTAATACGTCTACGTCGAAGAGGATAGGGTTATGCATCCGTTATTTTGCGAAGAAGTGTGATACTGCCATTCATCAGCTTAGTTTACCGCTATCCTTTCCTATTGAAATTGCTATACGAGACTGTAAAATAAGTTGCTCCCCAGTCTGAGTATCCTCTACTGCTACCCAATAGTCAATGTCTGCAAACTGGACTTTCTGTCAAGAGTACGTTTATCCAAAACCACATAGCAAAGCTTTCTCCATCATGTCCCGTCAGCTTAATCGTTGTGAGACTCATATGTATTTGCTTTAAGATAGGTTCAGATTACACTTCATGAGTGTGGTGAACAGTTATGCCCGGGCAAAAGTATTACTGTTGAATTCTACGACACTTACGTCAAGCCTTCGGAATTGAGACTTCATCCCATGAAAGTCTTCTTTTAATAACGATACTATGTCTATCATTCGCGAAGCTAGTGCTATGGCAATGTTTATCACTAGAGGTTGACCACTCGATATATTCCTTTGGACTGTCAGTGGGTGTTATCTGGGGTAATGGCCACTAAACTAATGCTGGCTTAGAAGTTTAACTAGTCACACTGAAACGAGAACAAAGTGGAGACAGAAGGCAAAACCCAGCTAAATTGAGAAATGTTATAACTCACATTGAACTGAATTAGAACCGTAGTCACTTTGTTCTGTCTGAGCCTTCCTAATACGCCCATCTGCCTGTGGTACCTACAGATTCACTGAGTCACGCAAATGTCAAAAGACAAAGGCTGGCCTGTGACTGTATATTGTAGTCACAACAACAACTACTAGGAAAAAAACACATGGTATTTAAATGTTTTCTTTACAACAATAAAGTTGGCCTCACAGCCGTGAGAAAATGATTGATAGCATAACTAATCACTACATGCGTGAGGAATGATGGTATACTACTTTATTTTGGTTCCTATGAAGAAAGAAACCGCTTGAGGAGCTGCTGCGAGCAGCTTAACCAGGACCACGTCGGTGAGATAGGATTTAGCCTGACCCCGTAGACCTCTCCAATTTTGAAGAGAATGGGGATGCTAGTTAAGTAGGCAAACAATATCCTAATATCCTGAAGAGGGCTTCACTGCCATTAAAAAAATAAATATATGAGTGGTGCTTGCATGCAATAATAAAATGTCAAGATACGTTCGTAGATAATTTTCACGCAAATATGGATTTACAAGGATATCATGCGGTCGGCACTTCGCTTTCTTTTAAGAGAAACCTACTCACCCTCCCTTGTGGTCAGAATCCTATGTTTTAACTATCTTTCATCCTTAGGTTCAGAGTTAGTTTTACCTTAGGACCAGATGACAGCCAAACCTATGCTGACACTAAACTGGTGGTAAATTTCACCCTATGTGACTTTGGTCTAGGTGGAGTTCTGGAGTTCTTAGAGTGGACCAGGCTGTTGGAGACAATAGCTTGCCTAGTTTGATTCAAATTCAGTATGCTCACAATGCGTTTGCAGAGTATATTTAAAATGAAGGAACAAAACAGTAGAAACCAACACAAATAAATAGTACAAAATGAAAGCTAGGAAACCTACAAGATTTGGAAGCAGTTGGCCTCATTGATCTTAGCCTCCTGTAGATGATTACTTCTTAAATTAAGCTCTACTTTCAAGTGGGTGAACCAAGTCGAGTGTTTTTTCTGCGCCCGATAGGTACGTCTACTGCATGCTGACGACCATCTTTGATAAGGGAGTACAAAAGTGAACATTGAGGATAGCGGCATCTGTTAACCACAAAACCAAAAGTCGTAATTCAGCAATACAAAAGTAAAAAAGATTTGCCAGTCACTGGAAAATTGAAACTTATTAGGTAATACGGGCTTTTGAAGCCATTATTATTGCTTTTCCTCCAAAACTTTACTAGCCCCACTAAAACTGGTAAATCATTGTTTCAAGCTAAGTGGAAGCACTTTGTAACAAAATTATTCCTTACCTTGACGCTCAGCTTCCATTCTTATGAAGAAACAATAGCCAGAATAACTTAAACTCCTACCCCATGATCAGGATTGTTCCTGCCTAAGAAACTGATTATTTTCCCGAAAGAAAGCTATTGGGTCATCGGTTTTAAAGTTGTAGAGAAGATAATTTGTAGTGCACAGGTCATAAACAGTACAACATAAGAGTTGAAATATAATTTTAACTTTCTGGGATGTATATCCACGAAAATAGGTCTGGATTTCCCATTGTTCTGTGACGAATTTAGTTTCGTATTCTCTCTATGCAGTCGCATGTTAAAAATTCTTCTGAAAAAAATCGGAATTATCTCAGGGAAATTAATGCATATACAAGAGGTCTCCGAGGCACAAAGATGAAAGCTGCCAAACTAGTTCCTGCATTAAGTTACATAAATGCTGAAAGGAGAATTGTTACATCATCTGACACGAATGACCACTTAATCTGTTTGAGAATATACGGCTCAGGACAACGAATCTGTGTTTACCCTATACTCAAATTACAGCTAAACAGACCATTTTGGACGTAGTATAACGTTTTGAGAAATCGTAGGCAGAGTCACGTAAACAGAGGGACACTGCAAGTAAGTCACTTTTTGTTAGTTCTTGTGTGTTATTTGGGGAAATCATATGTCATCAGTGAACTTGGAATGTTGAGTACGAGCTGTCACGCGAATGAACTAAACAGTCTCCAGTTAACTGTTTCAGAAGGTTGCTTTATTATGTGGCACGTAGGTGACCGTGGTTAGCGCAGGAGAGCAGCGGTCTTAACACTATTTCGTTGTCAAAGTGTTTCGGCTGAACTTATCTGGCACGTCAGTTGACGTTTTTCTCGGCTACTTTTTCTGTGAGTAATTTCTAATTAAATTGTGTCATTTCTTTTCTGGATTTATAGGAACTCTCATTTTCCGACAAGGCATGTTGGTATCCGCGTCATTCAGTTTAAGTTCAGCACAACGCTCAGCATGTTGTTTGCGTTGGTTTGCAACAAGTTAAACCACCATAGCTAAAACCAAGGTAACCCTGAACAAGCAGTCAGAATTCGGATGCAACAAGATCCATAATCGTTGAGAAATGAAATAAAAAACAGCAAACATGATATTACACTGTGTAGCTGTCATCTGTGCCTTGTAAGAATGTCTCCCAGTCCATACTAAGATGAGCTATACAGAAATCATACCATTTGCGATACACGTATTCATCTAGTTGACTGTAGGTCATGGTGCTTTGAGATCCATTGATATTTCTTACACCGGTCCTTAACCTACTCCTAACTGTATGCGAAATCCTAACTTTAATGCTAATCTCAACCTCAATCTTCAGGTGTGCTACGCACTTGGTGACGTTAATCGTGCGGAATAATCTCAGCCATTCCAGCCAAGTATTCATCATTGTACATTTAATTAAGCGGTTGTAGGCGGAAAGTCTGCTCAATGCGTTACGAGAAAAGTATTGTGTAAGCCTGATATCGTCTCTGGAGAATATTGGTGTAAGAGGATGCTAAAATGTTTGAAATTATTGTGTTGTTGTACGTATTTTACCTGAAAATCAAATAGTGCGTTTTGTATTCTCAGGTAACCTCTCAAGCCAAGGTCAATCGAGTCCGATCATCTTGGCACAGCTCGTCATCAGGAGTGTCGCAGGGTTCTATCCTGGGACCACTGATGTTCTTGATTTTTATCAATGATTTACCATGCCGTCTAAACTGCCCGACTCTTCTATACGCTGATGACGTAAAGATATGGAGGGCGGTAAAGTGTCCGGAGGACTCAGATAGGCTGCAGGCAGATCTAAGGCTTCTGGAAGACTGGGCGGTAACCAGTGGAATGACTTTCAACCTGAAAAAGTGCAAAGTAGTGAAGTTACGCACCTGTAGACTGCAGAATGCAAGTTACACCCTGTGCAATGAAAGCTTGTCCTGCTCAACGTCGGAACGTGACTTAGGTCTAGTTCTAACGGAGAAAATGGACACAAGCGTAAATTACACGGGGGTTGTAGCGAGGGCATATGCGGTCATACACTTTACACATAGACAATTAGGTGCACTCACTCCTGAGCTCTTTCTAAGGTTGTATAAAACATACGTCAGACCGCATCTTGAAGTGCATAATATCATTGCACCCCCACTGCTTAAAAGAGACGCCAACCTCTTGGAAAGAGCTCAACGACGGGCAACAAAAGGAGTGGTTGGTCTCCGAAATAAGCCATACGACGAAAGGCTGAAGAAATTAGGCCTATTCACACTCAGTTACCGTCGCCTGAGGGGGGATTTAATTACTGCCTACAAAATAACAAATGATCAGAATCACCCGAACAAAGGTGTTCTGCCATTGAGTAGGTATAGGCTCCCTCGTGGAAATCCCAGAAGGATAGCTCATCAGAGGGCAAGGACCCGGGTGCGCTCCCACTTCTTTTCCCTGCGGGTTTGCCGTCCCTGGAATTCCTTACCGGCAGATGTAGCTATGGCACCATCTGTGGACGCCTTTAAGCGAAGGCTGGACAACCTTGCAGTGACACAAGGACTGTATCCAAATGGCCTATCCCCTTAAAATCGCATATACCATTCAAAGATAGACAATTAAACTGGTCATTTTACTTCTTCACATTCCCTTCAGTCTTACTCTCCTGACAGCTTTAACTACACTTATTATTATTATTATTGTTATTATTATTATCATTATTACTGGTATATATTATATATATATATGTATACCGGTTGACTGACTGTTGTTACGTTTTCTTATTTTTTTTTCTCTGTCTGTTAGTCTGAATACCTTTACTAATTATATCTATTATTATTATTATCTCTTTTCCATTGACGACGATACCGAAAGACTAACTGGTGAAAGGATCAACTCCATTCACAGTAGTAACAGTCTTAACACACTTCATACTACAGACGCCATATAATTAATCCCAGCACTACTCCTGTTGGAGTCAACCAAAGCTACGGCAGTCGAGTGGCGGGACGAGCTACACAGACGTTTACCAAACATCAGGAACCTCTACCTTACAATCAAGAGGCGAGCGCAAAGAAATCAAATTGGTTTATACTAGCTCGTAAAAAGATATTGGATATTGGAAGCCGATTTAGTGGAACCATTAATTATTAATGGTATACGCGTGCAGAATGCATATAACTTTACTTCATGTCAAAGTGGTCTTAGGCGAATGTAAATAGATATTTTCAGTGTAAATTCTGACAGGATTAAACTTTAAGGGCCCAAGTGAATGACTGACTTACAGGCACTGAATGCCTTCGCAGAAATATATATATCTTACATGTAGTCACAAACCACTGTAAATGCCCAATTATTCTACATCGCAACCAGTCTGAATTATTCAGCTTAGATATTAAGCCATGAGTAAAACAAACGGTATATATAAAACTAATGAAAAAAACGTAGATCAGCGAAGACTTTCATTTCGGAGAATTCATTCACCTAGCTATACAATCGCACTTATATATAATTATTTTTGTATGTGTGTATACACTAGCTTTTTCAAACAAGAATATAAATTAGTTAGGGTTGTTGTTTACGTCATCAAAGTATTTCAGATTCAGATTATAAGGATAGAAGTCTCTTGTTGCCTATGTTAATCCTTGCGATATATATCTTTACTGAGATCCAGTTTCTCTTTGAAAGCGTTCAACGATGTAGTTGTTACTACTTAATCAGGTAAGGAGTTCCACTCTTTGACCTATCTGTGACAGAATCTAAATTCCACACTTATTTTATTCGACTTCGGGATGAGCACCTTGTGGTGACCTCGTAAATGTATCGTAGAGGGTGAGGAAAGGTTTGGAAGGTCAATCCCTAAACCACCCTTTAATATACGGCAAGCCAAAATTAAGTCGCCTCTCCTTCGGTATGATAATGAGAAGAGATTTAAATGCTCCATCCTCTTTTCATAAGGAAAGTGTGAGATACCACTAACCAATTTTGTTCCTACGCTTTGTACTCTTTCCAGGATATGTGCCTCCTTTTTGAAGCATGAACCCACCGCTTGTATGCAGTATTCTAGATGAGGTCTGACATATGTTGCATGCCGTCTAATCATTTGAAAGCCCCTCGAAGTGCCCATAGCATTCGAAAAGCCTTAGCTGCGGCTCGATTGCAATTTGCCGTTATTTTCAAGTCACGGCTTGCAATAATTCCCAAGTCCTTTTGTTCCCTAACATCTGGCAGTTCTGTATCCCCCAGGAAGTACGTTGTGTAAGACTTGTGACCTTGGTGCATTACCGCGCTTTTCGTGGAATTAATTTCCAGACTCCAAAGGTTAGCCCATTCGGCTAATTTATCTAGATCGTTTTGTAGTACCAATCTATCATCGTTACTATTTACGGTTTTCCATATCTTAATATCGTCCGCAAATAGTAAGGAAGATGAGGTAAGAATTTTCGGCACTTCCTTTACGTATAATAGGAATATCAGGGGTCAAGTACAGTTCCCTGAGGTACTCCACTTAGTACTGCTTTCCACCCAGACAGTACACTATTAACCCTTACCTTCTACCTTCTATCCATCAGGTAGTCGCTAAACCACTCACATAAGCGTTAGTCTAATCCAAAAAGTTTAAGTTTACTAAGGAGACCTAAATGGGATACCTTATCGAATGCTTTACTAAGATCGATAAATACAACGTCCAGTAGATGGTTCTTATTCCTGGCCACGACCCAATCTTCCCTAGCTAATAGTAAGTTTGTCAAGCAGGATCGTCCTGGTCGGAATCCATGCTGTTCCACTGCCAGTAAGCCTTTTTTTCCATATGAGCTAAGAGCTGATCCCTTATGAGTGTTTCTAACGTCTTTGATATAATGCAGGTCAAACTTACAGGTCGGTAGTTAGATACTAACTGCCTGTTCCCCTCTTTGAAGATGAGGCTTATAGAAGCATCTTTTCAGTCCCTGGGTAACCTAGCCTCTGTCAGAGACATTTGAAAAATCTCCGTAAGTGGAGTGTATGTTATATCTGCCAAGGAGATTAGTAGTCTACGGTGAAGTCTTTCGGGTCCAGGTGATTTACCTGTCTTCAGCCTAGACAGTAGTTTGAGAACCACTGTATCCTCTACTACAATTTTAGGCATTTTAGTGGCTACATGAGTAACCTCGCTACACCCCTGAGTGGTACGATTAAGCGAGAAAATATCGCAAAAGTATTCCGAGAGCTTTTCAGCTTTTGTTTCGTCTGACTCGGCCGCCTCTCCAGTATTGCTATTGAGGGACGATATACCACTGCTAGTTTTAGTCCTGCGTTTGATATACGAGTAAAGTCTTTTTGAATAATGCACACAAACCAGTACTAACTGTCTCCCACACTCTATATGACTTTTGTCAATCTTATAATTACAAAGGTTTCTAATTTTACGGTATTCCATCCGAAACTCATCCCTCCCAGTCACAGTAAACCGGTCCCATAAGTTCTTTCGTTTTCTTAATAACCGCCTTATTTCATTACTAATCCAAGGTGGTTTATGAGATAGTTTTCGAGGCGAACGTCATCAAAATATTTCAAAATGTGTGATGCATAGTCAAATTTTAACTAAGGTGGAGCGGAATTAGTATGAGGGTAATTGTGATGATTTGTTAAAAAAGTTTTCAATGTTAGTCAGCGTATAAGAGAAGCTGAATAAGTGCATTGTAGTTGCGTAGTAAGATGAATAATTTGACGAGTGAGTGTTGATCAGGATGTACATAGAAACGAAGGAAAATATGGAATTATGTAAGAGTTGTGAAGAAATACAAGTTGTGAGGAGTTAGAAACGCAGGTACACAAACATCAAGTCAGTAGAAATCAACACGGTGGTTGGCATTATAGTAGAAGTGGTTGAACGACTTTCGTTTGTACACATAACTCTGGTTTCTCCAACTGAATGTAGCTAAGGCTTCAGAGATACAAGGGAGATGAAAGCATATTGCCTTTGGTAGGTTATTCTTGACTCTGTAGATTACTTTGAAGGAGACGTTTGTTGAGATGAAATGGTTATTGTTCACAGGGTGTTCAATGATCGCACTCCTTATAGAACCACTGCTACTACTGCAGCCATGTGGGATAGTGTTCTCGAATCCTTCTGGACAGGATAAGCGTCGAACGACCAATGCACCTGGTTCCACAGCAACGGGTGAACTGATATGTGCACATAGAAGTGGCCAGATGTGAGATCCTGACCTTAAGGCTTCCGTATACTAAATACTCTTAGCGTTGCTGCGAAGAATTTTCTCAAAGATGCTGCACTTCTTCTTTTAAGGATATTGCAAGCTAAGTCTCCCTTAAAATCCAGGCTCATATGAAGTTTCTTTTTTGGAACAAGTAATGTTTCGTTCCTCCGGACTTTTGGTCTGATATTCTTGTCGATGAATCTTGTTAGGTATCCATTTCGGATGGTTTCTTTCTGAAGGTCTAGTTCTGCTTCTAGGGTGTCAGAACTGTAGATGCGTCGGATCCGAGTGGCAAGGAATTTAATTGGATTTCGTTTTCGTTCAACGGGCACCCAACTGTAGGAACTTGTTAGTTGTCCATTCCAAGTAGAATTTCCACGGACCAACCTTCTTAAGGTTTCGTCAGATCGTCTTCTTAATTCCACATCAAGAAAGGGTTTTTGAACTTGTTTTCCATTTCCGGAGTGAATTTTATTGCTGGATGGCAGTTGTTAAATATTTGTAGCAATTGATTGGAGTCGTAGCTGTTGTCGGAAATGATGAAAATGTCATCCACGTACCGTTTATACAGTTGTAAACCGTCAATGGACCACTTTATTGGATCATTCGAAGGGTAACCGAAGAACAGTCTGCTAGTAATGGACCCAAGTGAGATCCCATTGCAATACCGTCCTTTTGTCTGTAGATGGTGTCATTGGAAGTGAATTGTATATTGAGAGTACATCTCAACAGCAGTTCTTTTAAATATGTTGGTATTCCGATGTTGAACTGGCTTTCATCTATATATATATATATATATATATATATGTATATATATATATATAACATAGCTTTTATAAGTGGGACATTGGTGAAAAGTGATTCGATGTCGAAAAATAGCATACTTTTGTCGGTAATAATCATATATTGTATGCAGTCGATGAATTGAAAGGTGTCACGAAGCGAGTATATACATCGATATCTCCTTACAGGCTCCAGGTTGGTTCAAACACAGGATTCATTATCCGAAAATTAAATACTGAGACCATCAGCCTACACCTCCAGATTGGTATAGGCTGTATGAATTTAAATGTGTCTAGTTCTTCAGCTTAGATATTTCCAATTATCAGTATGTTTTCTAGTCGTTTACTGATTTTGTGATTTTTTTCTACCGTTATAAACTTAAATGAATGCCTGTACAACTTTTTTTGTAACGGTTTTAGAGTTACAGTTCATGATTTAACAGTATGGAAGACAAAAATAAGGTGTGCACTTCCAATACACCATCATCATCATCATCATCATCTGAAAAGAAGAGGAAACATAAACACAGAAATAATCATTCTAAAGTAGTTACTTCAACTCCAGTGAATGAAGGTCCATATCGCCCAAATATTTCATCTGTCACACGAGTAAGGTTATATTTTTGAAATCATTACACAAAAGTTACTGTGATTGTACCCCATGAGTTTACCTGTACTCATTGTGTTATTAATAATAATTATTATTAACTGAATTGTGTAGAACTGTTGTTTAATAGTGTACTCAACTTTTGACTGTCAAGATCAGAACTATGCATCCGAATTCTACTCGGTCTGATTTGTGTGGAATGTCTGAACAAGACTGTCAACCCTTAAATAAGTGCAATTCAAGGGGTGAAGCATGAACTTTTATATGGTTACTAAACTACCTGCGTCTCAAAATATTCTTCGATTACCATTACCACTTTTTCGAAATAATATGTTCCAACAATTGATATGGTCACGGATGGTAATATTGCTCGGAAAACATATCGCTGTATATAAACAACCATTGAAAGCATGTTTGTAATAAACTGATCCATTCCACAGTGCAGAAACTTTTGACAGACATTATATGCATTGTGGCTATTTATTTATTATTATTTTATTCCTTTAGGTTCCCAGTGGAACATAGAGCTTCAGGCTAGAGCTTTGAAGTTTCGGTAGCAGTGGTGTTTATTTTTATAGGATGGGGTTGCTAGTCTCATGTCCAACCTTCCCTCTTTACCAGTTTTATTACCAGCTAAGTGAGGTTTGGAAGTGTATCGGCAGGGGATCGAACTGTGAACCACCTACGTGGTTGGCGAGCATTCTAACGCTGTTTAGTACTATGGCAAAATATTCTCACTCAACTGCCCAGTGCTTTTTGAATAACAAAAGTTCGCCAGTGTCATTTGAAGATCGAAGTTACTTAGAATGTATATTACATTATTAGGATTCAATTTGTATTGTTTCCAATAATATATTATTATTGGCTAGCGCAAGGATTCAAGAACCCCATTTTATTCTACGCCACACGTTATTTGAATCTATGTGTATGCTTCTTGTTAAGCACTTTAGGATTCCTAACATAAACTGAAGCCCATCATCAAGTACTTAAAATGCTAAGGCATTATTCAGCAGTCAACTGAGTATGATAATGACAAATGTGTGTAAATTTGCAATGACGTTTAATATATATAAAACCCACTTGTTTTTAGTCTAGTTTAAATACAGATTGAAAACTCTGATTTGCAAAATAAACACAACGAAATTATGATTGTATTAGAAAGGGGAGATGTGGAATCCGTTTTCAGATATAGTGAATTCACCTTAATTTCCTTTTCCCACAATAAGTGATACAACAAAAATACATCGTGATTATTCACTCGATGATGGATGCTAGGCTAGGATTGTATCATGGCACCAACCACCTTATCATTTGTTCCAACTGGTCTCGTAGCTATATCAAAAAATCGATTGTATCCAGGGTTCTTGAATGGTGTGCATAACACATCCATGTCACAAGGTATAATATTGCAGTAGAGAGACTTCATTGACAGTTCCTATGTCGATTGAAACACGCATCCTATACTTCACTGCTAATGATCTCAATTAGGCGGATAGTAGTTATGAGATGCATTTGTAACGGTAGAAGACGAAAGACTTGATATCGGAATGTTTGCAATTTGGTATCGCTGTATGGCGAAATCATGTACACCTTATCTTCGATGCACCATTTCCACAGATCTTCCGTATTGTGTTACTTCTCGCTTTCATATTGCGTGTGTTTCTTTGTATTCCTTTCACGTCGCCCATGTTTCTCCGCAATGTTGTATCACTCGCTTTCTCTGACATCAAATATATCTCCCTGCTATTTGATACTTTTATGCCGGTGAACATCTCTTTATATACTACTGATAAATCTTATCAGCAGCACACGTCACATATGTAGGAAGCTTATGTACCGAGAGAATTTGGATCTTCTGAATAAAGTTACAAACAGTAACTCTGTTAACTTAATTAATGTATTGTGTTTTCCTTCAGAAAATTTTATTTGAGAAGTTTTTCGTTGCTTTCGTCTAATAAGCTGCCTCCTAAATAAAATAGTGACTAACACTGTTTCCTCTCCAATCGTCATAATTAGAAAAATAACACTGTTATGCAATCTGTAGTCTGCATATCTCTAATAATGTTAACCTTCTAGGTCACTTCTATCCTCTGAACCAATGAAACATTCATCGTTACTTTTCAGTACACAGTTAGTTTCTCGACGGTAGTCTCATTCCTATGAAGCTTCAGAATTGTGTAAATTATAGATACTTTCTTAAAACCATTCATTTTTCATCGGTCTATTGTCTACATTGAAGCACAAATCACTCACAGGTGTTTGGTGATACAGATGTTCGCAGCATAGCTGTTGCACTGAGTAGAACTACACAGTCAATATCGTTAAAGTTATACAGAGTATTAATTGAGAGAGATCATCTAGTCAATGGGGTTGTAACATAAATTGATGTAGCTCAGTGCGGAGTTCTACACTTTCTCCTTACCTAACTAAATTCATCAGTTTTATAACCTGATTTTACTTTCTCTTTTGTTTTTTGACATTTAACCTTACAGGAGTCAAGTACTTTCCTATCAATAAATGAACGCTTGTCAGGTATACTGGATAAAATATCTTCATTAGAAGATAAATGGAGTACAAACTTCCGTCAATCTTGTATCGTATTTACAAATTTGGCTACACATATATGGAAAATATTGACAGGTGAATTTTAAATAATATATATTACTATATGTGTAAAACTTGAGCACTGTGGTAGTATATAATTCCATATTAATTCGTTTATTAGATATATCACACAGTAAGATAGTATTATTATTTACTGGATGACAAAGTTTCGAACACAATTCATTGTTCATAGTCATATCAGTTATAACCACACAACTTCGAAACTTCCCTATTCGTTGTAGGGTATTGAGCCATTCCTATTAGACGTATTTGCAGTTGATTCGATAAATAAACCTTACAGAGAATTCTTAACAATGCAGGAATAAAAGTGGTTGGCATTCAAACACACAAACTCAATTAAAACGAGCTTTGTCGGTTAAAGGATCCCGTGGAGCTAATAAAACATAACAATTTGGTTTATCTAATACCCTGCTGGAATGATTGTCAGGTCAAAGTAGTAGAACAGGGGTAGTCAGACTAGCGGAGCACAAAAACCTAGCAAAATTTAGATTAGTTGACCCGAATAAGATAAGAAATCTAGAGAATAGTTCAGCTATAGCAATACATGCAATTACACACAGCCATACAATATGATGGGATAAGATGACAGTTTTAAAATCTAATGTGACAGAGTAGAGGGACAGGTTAATAACGGAAGCCTTGTTTATCGAACCAACTGAAAACCAGTGTAACAGAAATGGTTCAACACCTGTCCCAGACATCTGGAAAATTCTACTACCCTTACGACAAATAAGAGAGAATAAAAAAACTATAAAAGGAAAATGCTGAATCTGTGTGGTTATAATTGATATGATTATGAGCCATAAATTGTGTTTGAAACACTATCCAGTAAATAATACTGTTTCGCTGTGTGATATATCTAATAAACAAATTAATATGGGATAACATATATTACATTTTTCCCTTTCTTCACGAAATCGATGACTTACCTACCTAATCAAATCTTGTTGCTGCCACAAACCAATAAAAAGATGTTTGCAGTAGATCCATTACAATAAAGAGTGTAAACGGTTTGATTAATTGTTTTTAATCAAGTTATTTCCAACCGATGGATCACAATTTCCAACTCTATTGTGCATAGTTCTTCCTAAGTAGTATTATTACATACCCTTACACATTTCCTAGTATATAAAACTGTAGGAACAAAGAGATTTTCGTCAATTTTTCATTTTTTTTAAAACTTTGAATTTATAAAAATGTGATTCATTCAGAAGTGGATGTAGTTACCAATCCAGATCAGTTAAAATATCTTTAGAAACCAGGCTATGCTCACCCACAACTTCCCTGGGAATTGAAACCAAGAGAATTTTTGATGTTATTCTTTAGGGATGATAATTAAGGTTTTAAGAAGAACACTCATTTGATCTAATCAAATCAAAAGCCTTACAGATGGCAACTTCCAGTGTGTCGTGTGCTATTGACAAGAATTTATGAGTAGTATATTGTGCGTGACATTTTCTGTAAAGAATCTTGAATAGGGCAGCGATGGATCAAGTGGCGAACAAGAGAAATGAAAGATTCTTGTGAAACAAAATAGAAGGCAAGACAAAAGAAGGAGAATACGAATACTTTGGGCAAATGGAAACTTCAGTGTGAGGTTTGTGTATTTTTCCATCAATGCATACCATTTTCCAGATAAACAATTCTGCTACCAGATACTGCTATGTTCTGTCGTTATACTAGTATTAGGTTATAGGTTGTATTACCAGATAGCTGGTCAACGTTCAGTGTGTTTTATATCAACTTTTAATATAAAAATGAGGATTAAGTACCAGGTGGTAATTGTCAGTGATCATTCATGCCTGCGTTCTATTTCCCGTGTTAGGTGGTATAATCGTGTGAGTAATATTGAGATTAGGCGTCGAGTGCTAGGTAAGAAGGGGAAATCAAACGATGAGGTCGTAAAGTTACATCGATTGAGATGGTTGGGACATGTGTTATGCATGTCTTATCATCGCCATCCTCGACGGGCAATGTTAGCTGACATGGAATCAGGTTGGAAAAGAGTTAGCTAGTGGCAAGCAAACCAAAAAATGGCATCAGTCAATGAAATCCATAACAGTTAGTTTGAGCCAGTCACGTAGAGAGGTGTAGACTTCCTGGTTGGGGTCTTCTGGATGGTAAGAATCAATAAAGGCTGGAAACGATTGGTGTAGTATGGCTCAAAATCGTTCTCAATGGAGCAGAGGCATTCACTCCTCGTGATTTATCATATCCAATAAAATTCTATTATTCTTCCATATTACTATTCCTTTTCCTTCACACTTTTGTTTATTACCTTTCTTTTGAATTTCTTTTTGCTCTCTCCGCTTGCTTTGTGTGCTACATAGAGGGAGTGTCAGCTCGAACTGGTGCATATCTGTGCAAAGTTCTAGGTTGAAAGGTGCCATACTGTGTTTATACCAGTCCCCAGTGTTCATTCATTCAGTTTACACTGATGATTGCCCTGAATAAATACCATATATGACAAAGCCGTTCACCAATTGAATCAGCTCTATGTGTACTTTTAATGCAATAGACTTAAACCTATGTACAGTCTAAACAGTCATTTCCGAACGCAGAAGGTGTATAGATAGACAAAAGATTTTTACTAACAACTTAAGGATTTGTTTCCAGATTTCTATCTCAGTCTCTGATTTTTTTATACATCTGCTGTGGAAATAAAGACGCACTGTTATATTTCCATTTTGTAAAATTAAGTTACTAAATCTTATTGTCTTGACTGATACAACCGGTCAGCACCAATACTGAGGACTAAACATATGACATTGGTTACTACTCTCTAATGACTAGTTAACATATGGTCGTCTTCCGTAATATTCGATGTTTGTCTATAGAGTTCACTATATGACTATTACGCTAATCTTTAAGATACAGTGGTGTGCTGTGCTAATGTGTTAGATGTTAGAAGCTTATTGACAAGAAATGAAGCTGGTTTTAATTCCTTAGGCGATACCCTATTACCACAACAGCTGGATATATCCATTTCTGTTTTAAGTGACCAAAATGATCTTTCAATAGTTGATTTGTAGGGATTTAATTTGTTTTTCAAGTTTGCCCACGGATTGATATCAGTTAGAGAACCATTGAAAACCAGGGAGTACTGGACAGCTGTTTCATTTTAGTTTGGGACCCTTCAGCAGTGCGCACCCGCCACAGGGGCTTGAACCCAGGACCTTCCGGCTACAAGGCAAGCTCGTAGACCATACAACCACTGGGACCCAAATCAACGGCCCATGAATTCTAACTTCTACCAATCTGCAACTTATACTTGAAGTTCTAGTGAGTAGTCGTGACCAGTGGGGTCAATCCTGTTGGGAGTGAGGACAAATATTTGCCGATGACATTGTCTGACAGTCATGTTAGAATTAGAATTCATAAGCCGTTGAGTAGAGTCCCAGTGACTGACAATGTCATCGGCAAATATTTGTCCTCACTCCCAACAGGATTGACCCCACTGGTCACGACTACTCACTAGAACTTCAAGTATAAGTTGCAGATTGGTAGAAGTTAGAATTCATGGGCCGTTGATTTGGGTCCCAGTGGTTGTATGGTCTACGAGCTTGCCTTGTAGCCGGAAGGTCCTGGGTTCAAGCCCCTGTGGCGGGTGCGCACTGCTGAAGGGTCCCAAACTAGAATGAAACAGCTGTCCAGTACTCCCTGGTTTTCAGTGGTTCTTTAACTTATATCAATCCGTGGGTAAACTTGAAGGATCAATGATCTATATGACTGAAAATAACTCAACGAGTTTTTTTGAGAGTAACTTCCTTTTAGGGATGGTAACATTAGAATTTGGAGTAATCGGGTAAAATATCTGCTGGAAATCCCGTTGTTTGTAAGTAGTTACGGCTCATTACCGAACTTTTAATTGTAAATTAATCTTTAAAATATGAAGTTGGACCAGTCTTTTGTATTTTTCCCGTAAGTAAAGAGTGACTTGTTGTATGAAGACTACATGGGCGTCATTGACAACAAATGATTCGACAACTGGTGTCGACTCTAATATTATCATTATCGTTTGTGATAATGTGATATGTTGTGATTGATAGAATGTGTTTTTGAACTTTTGTTTGTTTGAATTTATTTCTTTTAAAGATAAGTAAAATATTTTTATGTTTAACAGTAATGATAATCTACTCCTGGTTTTTTTTCCCGAACTTCTGTTAATCATTTTTATTAGATTGTTACTGAAATATCTTACCCAAACAGTATTTCAAAAAACGCCTCTTGCTCAAAATATGTATCCCAAGCTATAGATATGTTCTGTTGTTTAAGATGTAACTTTCTTTAATAGAAATGAAACTATACTAAGTTGAAGTTTAGGAATTGTGAATGCACTAAAACAGCTTCGTAAATATTTTACAAACTGTCGTCCTCATGAATTCACTTGAGTTTAAACAAGAGCCTTCTAATACTAAGATATTGTGATGAATAACGCCTTCGATTACTTGGGATTTCGAAACAGTTTACTTTTACTGTCTATGTCAAGCGGTTAAATCACACACTGTCCAAAATGAATACAATCACTTTTAACTAGTCATTTGTGAAGAAGCGATCTTACTACCTAACATCTCTATTAAGTGTATCGTCATGGGTTTTACTTTCTCGTTTGTATTTGAAGGGTGATCTTGTTAAATAATGTCTGTGGAGTTCTAGTGAGAATTCGTGGTCACTGAGGTTCATCAAGTCGAATTCAAGGACAGGTACTTGCCGATGACATTGTTTAGCAATGGCACTTTGTATCACGAATCGGCATAAGTTAGGATTCATAGACCTCTGGATTTCGTCCTAGTGGCTGAATGATCAATGCGTTCACTTTGTTAACTTGTAGGTCTTGTGTCCGATCTCCAGTGGGAACATGAGTGGGCACTTCTGAAGAGTCTGAAACTAGGACGAAACAGTTATCTGACACTCCATGGTTTTCAATGATTCTGTAACTGACTTTAGTTTGTAATCTGGTTTAACATACTAGCCAACTGTGTATTAGTATAAGTCGGTCGGTTTTCGACATAGAACTTTGCACATATGTGCGGCAGTTCAAGTCGCCACACTCCATGTAGTACACAGAGCAAGAGAAGAAAGTAGGAGAAATGCATAATATAGACATTAAACAGAGGTGTGAGACAAAAGAATAGTAATAACGAAGAACAAAACAGTTTAATTGGAAATCATAAGTCACAAGGAGTGGATGCATCTGCGCCACTGAGAACGATTTTGAGCCATATCACCAATTATTTCCAACCATTGGTTTTTACCGTCCCGAGGACCTCAACCAGGAAGTCTACACCTTCTTACGTGGCTTAGACTAACTGTTGTGGATTTCATTGACTGGTGCCATGTTTTGGTTTGACCGGTGCTAGCTCTTTTCCAGTCTGGCCCTATATCAGCTAACATTGCCCGTCGAGGAAGGCGATGACTAGGCATACGTAGCACATGTCCTAACCATCTCAGTCGATGTAATTTCACAGTCTCGTCGACTGATTTCCCCTTCTTACCTAGCACTCGACGCCTAACCTCAATATTGCTCACCTTATCATACCAGTTCACGTGGGAGATAGAACGAAGACACCTATGATCGAAGACAGCTAATCTTTTCATGTCTTCTGCTCTCAATGGCCGGGTCTCACAGCCATGAAGGAGGACAGAATGTACTGTTAAGCACTACACACGCCCTTTGGTTGATAGTCGGAAATCACGTCTACTCCAGAGACGGCGTAAATTGGCATATGCGAAACTAGCCCTCTGTATTCGTGCTGAGATTTCGTCGGTGATCAACCCGTTGGGGCTGATGGTACTTCCCAAGTAAGTGAAGCGGTCAACGTGCTCTACCACTTCACTTCCTATTTCTAATCTAGGGGTCGGTGTAGTCCAATCCTGCAGCATCATCTTACATTTTACAGGGGCGAATCGCATGCCAAACATACGAAGATTGTTGCTCAAGGTGGTCATTAGACTCTGCATTTTGTCAGAAGGACTATATCGTCCACATATTCTAAGTCAACGAGATTATTATTATTAGTAGTAGTATAAGTCAAAAGTGTAAACTTCTCAAAATATTTACTTTACCTCTCCCAGTATATCTGAAGGTGAAGAACATTTTCTGGATTTTTCTCTCCCAGATTCCTTATCTACGGACAATATTGACGATTGTATCACATACACACTTTGTGATCTGTATTTAAGTGATAATAAAGAAACAATGAAGAAATTGCGTACGGGTCTAATATTGGAAACAGACTATGACAAGTTAGCTGAACATGTTAAAAATATGGAAGATTGCTGCACACAACTAAAATTACTGGTTAGTATACTGTTACTAATTTTTTTTAAATTTTACATTGTCGAGAAAATTCTACTGTTCTTCTCATTTTGTATTTTTGTATTTATAATTGATCAGGATCATTTAAGTGAACCTTTCTTTCGCAGTTTCTCTCTGTCGTCTTATATAGCATAGTTAAACTGAGAAGAAAGTACCAATCTTTTGCTTTCATATTTCTGTATCGGTAATGTATTCATGGTTTCTAAATTTATTGAAGTCTCATTGTACTATGCTAAGTTTGTAAATCCACTTCTATTTATCATGCGTAACACGGGGGTGTTTTATAACTTACCTTGTTAAACTGGCTTCTTGTTAGGCATAAAGATACCCATTTGATTGTATCCAAGATGCGAGAGTATTGATTCTAAAAGATAACAGACTTGTTCACCTCTCACATACATTCAACGTCACTGTTTATCGTGCATTCATGTAGTAGTTTAGTTGAGCCTTCTTTTTAATCTAAGGGAATGAAAGCATCTATTTCTGTTGATTCAAGTAGACAATATCTCTCGCCATGCTTAGTTAAATATTTTGAAAAAAGTAGTCCCATTTTCCCCAGTTGATGTGTGTTTTACTAGTGAAAAAAAAAGAAGAAAATCACTAGTTGAGAAATTTAGGCAATACAATTCCTATTCGATGTTTGTTGTATAGGTGAGTCTGTGCCTGATTTTTACACCATATTCAGAACACTATTATCATTCCCTTAGAGTCTCAGTGAAACATAGGGCTATAACAACACATCTCCATTTCATCCTGTTTTCTGCAGTCTTCTCTAGCCGTCTTCACTATTGTCTATAAGTTCTCATCTCCTGCTCACACGATCTCCTCAATGTCATCCTTGGAGGTCCAACTCGTGGTTTCGCATTCATCTTCCACCTGAAGACCCGGTGCATGATGTCATTCAACAGTCTCCTCAGTTTATCTCCAATCCATCTCCACTTCCTTCTGCAGACAGGTTCTTGATTGGTTCTTTCTCATAGCTCCTAGCTGCTAATCCTTTCTGACTAGTCATCTGATCTTTTGCACGTGGCGGATGGTATGTTCCACACAGAACCCAGGGGGATAATAATAATAATAATTGTCTTAAACATTTCATATAATAGTCATAACAGCAGACATATTTTTCGCCTTTCTCAATTGACAGCTAATGAAAACTGTGAGCTCGTTGGTATTAATCACGCATAAAGACAAAACTATGGGTGAATTAAATCCTACATAATTTTTTGAAGTTTTTCAATATTCCTTTCAGGACTTTTAGTACTTTGTACGCAGCCTGAAGATTATATAGCTAGCTACCTATACAAATCGTGATCATAAACGTGACAGTCTTTCCATTATTATCATCACAATAGTATTGTCTTATTTAAGTTTTGCATCTCAGAGTTTGTGCATTTAATAATTTATGAAAACAAAACACGCAGTTAAGTGAAGAATCTCTTTTCAGCGAATTCATTCACTTAACTGTACAGTCGCAATTATATATAATTATTTTTGTATGTGCGTGTGGACACTAGGTTTATCAGACAAGAATAAAACTAAGTTAGGGTTTTTGTTGTGAAGACGTTTCAAAGATGTGATGAGTAATCAAATTGTAACTAAGGGTGGGGGGGTGGAGATTAGTATGAGGGTAGTGGTAATGCGTTGTCAGAAAACATAGCTATGAATGTTAATCAACACATAGAAGAAGTTGAATAAGTGTAATGCAGTTATGTAATAAGGAGTGTGATAATCAAACATCTCGTCAACACTAACCATTCCATCTCAACAACAACCTCCTTCAAAGTAATCTACAGAGTCAAGAATAACCTACCAAAGGCAATACGCTTTCGTCTCCCTTGTATCGCTGAAGCCTTAGCCACATTCAGTTGCAGAAAGCAGAGTTATGTGTACAAACGAAAGTCATTCAACCACTTCTACTATAATGCCAACCACCGTGTGGATTTCTACTGAATTGATGTTTGTGTGCCTGCTTTTCTAACTCATCATGACTTGTATTTCTTCACAACTCTTACATAATTACATATTTTCCTTCGTTTCTATGTACATCCTGATCAACACTCACTTCATTAAATTATTCATCGTACTGTGCGACTACAATGCACTTATTCGCCTTCTCTTATGTGTTGGTTAGTATTGATAAGTATGGTTTTTGACAAACCATCACCACTACCCTCATACTAATTCTCTCCCCCCGCCTTAGTTAAAATTTGATTAGTTACTGGATTTTCATCATGAGCTGACATTAGTTAGAGAACCATTGGAAAACCTGGGAGTACTGGACGGCTGTTTCGTCCTAGTTTGGTACTCTTCATGAGTACGCACCCAACGGGATTCGAACCCAGTACCTTCTGGTTACAAGGCGAGCTCGTATACCATTGGCTAGGGGTCGCGCTATGTCGTCAATTGACAGAAGTTAGAATTCATGGGCCATTGGATCGGGTCCCAGTGACTTAATGGTATACGAGCTCGCCTTGTAACTAGAAGGTACTAGGTTCGAATCCCTGTGGGTGCGTACTGATGAAGAGTCCTAAACTAGGACTGAGGAAACAGCTGTCCAGTACTCCCAGGTTTTCCAATGGTTCTCTAACTAATGTCAGCTCATGATGAAAATCCTGTAACTAATCAAATCCCTACAAACCAACACTTGAATAAAATTTGATTATCCATCACACATTTTGAAATATTTAGATGAAGTAAACAACAACTCTAACTAATTTATATTCTTGTTTGACAAAGCTAGTGTACACACACACACACACATACAAAAGTAACTATATACAGGTGTGATTGTACAGCTAAGTGAATGTATTCGCCGAAAAGAGATTCTTCGCTGAACTACGTGTTTTGTTTTTCAATAATGTCTGGATAGGATTTATTCATGAATTTATCGATATCTATCCATATTATTCCTTTTTAGACGAGTCAATTTGATGCACTAAGTAAACTGGATCAAAATGAATCACTTCACCGATATAGCACCACCGGTTGTTATTCAAGAAATAATAATTCTTCATTTAGCACACGGAAATGTTCAACACCAGGTGGTGGTGATGACGATATTTCATCCTGTATGCAATCTCAACAGTCTAATCAACTATTCTCATGGAAATCATTCTCTATGGAACTGATAGGATTAGTCAATCAAATTGAACGTGATTTAACGATAAGAAGACATTTGATAAAAATTATATTGCCTCGTGCTTTGCATACTCGAGACAGTCGTCGTCGTCGTAGTGGTGGGGGTGGTGGTGGTGATCCTGGTGAAAATGATGATCTGCTAAAATTGATATCAATTTGGCGCCATTTTGGACAATATGTTCAATGGTCATCTGTCCTATCAATGTCTGAACATATTTTGAAGATACTCTCTTCAGAAACGAGTTGACAGAGGCTATCTAATCTTAAAAAAAGCAGAATATGTACATATATTTTCATATATACTTTGTTTTTTAATTAGTATGGGGACAGGCTACTGAGCTGTAAAGTTAAAAATAGGAGTAACAAGATATATATATATATTTACAAAAACATTCATCAAAGGTATTGAAGAGTATATAGGAATATTTATAAATTCCACCGTATTTCTTCTGAGTACATGAGATTCTTGCATTTGTGGATGGCCTCAATCTTCTGGAATCGGTAGAGAATTACTTTTAGCTCACTTGTATGAATATAAAGACTCATTTTTGACAAATACACAGGCAGCGCTGCATAAACTACTGACATTTTGAATGCAACCTTACAAACGAAAATATGTAGCTGAAATGATGACACTACATTCACTGGCTGTATATTTGATGTATGGATAGATATCCTTTTGTATTGCAATGCTAACTAACATCAATAGGATATCTAATGTCTATACCATGTGTGCTTGATAAGACAGCTGTTAAACTAAACCTCGTTTAATGAAGAAAAATCATTGACGTGTGGACCTCTTAATTTGCATTCACATGATTGGCTAATACTACTTCAAGAGTTTTGGCTTTACAAATTCATGTAACTTTCCAAATTACAATTACACATCTCACTATCAACATCATCCAATCCTGTTTATGCTTTTTTTTACACAAATAAATTCAGTTAGTCACTGTCTAACCAATCCACATTTGCAATAATCGAAAAGTAAAACGCTTTGAAATGAAATGTACAAACAATAATTGAAAACTCAGGCTGACTGATTTTTTCAGTGTAGGACTATGCACAAAAGTCTAGTAGTTTATGTTGTCATACCCCATGTAGCAGCACACAAAGGTAAAGAGTGAAAGGAATGAAATATGGCACAGTGGTTAGGACTCTGGCCGACCATGCACATGGTCCGAGTTTCGATCCCCTGCCGACGCACACCTGATATCTATGGTCGGCCTGCAAAATTTGGGCTACCGATATCACATGCTGAAAATTCCATACTTGTACCAAAAATACAGTGTGGAATCAAGCTGTAATTTAAAAAAGGCAACCTATGAGATAAACAATAATAAGCGTTTAATAGATCTGGGAGATTACATCTGAATTCATCTATACTTTACTTTACTTCGGCTATCTCCTACGGGAGGATGAGCCGGCTTCATGAACATCTCGAATCATCGCTGCCCAGGCGCGGCGATCTGATGCAAGGTTTTGCGACAGGGTTATCCAATTCTTGTTCCACAGACGGAGTCCGTAGACGGTTTGTAGCCCCAGGCACTCCATATCAGCCTTGACTGTACCAAGCCATGTTTTCAGCTGTCCACCCCTGCGACATCGCCAAGATGGTAATGGCGAGGGATTTAGAACTGATTTGACCAGATCGTCATCTGGTCGGCGCAGAACATGGCCAAACCACCGAAGGCGACGTTGTTGGACCAGTACTGGAATTTGGTTGATGTTGTAGCAAGAGAGTTCATGAAGTTTCATGGGAATTTGGTACGAGTGATGTCCCCAGAATCGCTCGGCCTTTTGTTTGAGAGTGCAGCTCTAGCCTTTACACAACCAAGTGTGACCTACAAGGCAGTAGGAGTGGAGTAGGGAGTCCACTATCCATTGGCAGCCGGTGACCGGAGTTCGGTTCATACGCCTTTTTGAATGGGGCCAGACATCCAGGACATCCAACAAGCCCTTTGTCCATACGTCTGCTGGTGAGCTCCAGTGAGCTTCATACGCCAGTCGTTGGAGGTTTGGAATCAGGGTTTAGCCATCTCCCCTAGACTGTCATCCAATGGACAGTCAACCCGGTGAAGAGCGCCGGGCATCCGCTTTCGCCCTCTCACTTTGGTGAAAAATGCCTCCGCCACGTGAAGGCAGTGAGTAGGACTTCCTCAGGAGAGGCTATGTAAGACGCCCGGTCATATGGGAGCATTTCAAGAGGTGTGCGGAGGGGTGGCCAACCCGCAGCGCAAGGCACCCACCCCCGACCATCCTGAGGCTTTGGAGGCAATTCATCTATGCCATTGATAATGATTCTGAGCCATGATACTGATAGTCTCAAACCATTGGTTCTTACTATCTTGAGGAGCCCAGCTAAGCAGTCTTCATCTCCGTACTTGGCTCAAACCAACAGTCAGAGGCTCTATGTTATGATTTTGGCAACCCTAAACTTTTTGCAGCCTAATCCTATATCAGCGAACACCGCTCAACAAGGAAAGTGATGGCTTTAAGTGTGCATAACACGTGTCCTAACCATCTCAATTGATGTAGCTTCACAAATTCAGAGTGCAAATTGACTCGTGTAAATACAGGTGTCAGTCACAGAATCATGCTGTATAGTAAGTAGTTTTGAGTCTACAGATATTCTGATATACTTTAATCAATGAAAAACCATATACAAACTAGAAATTGGAGTACAACAATCACGCTACAAAAATATTACTCAGGAATGTATTTATTTAAAATAAATTAGGTGCAAAGTTTTTTTAAAAAGAACCAACTAAAAAAAGCAAATCTACCTTATCCAAATATTGTACTTAGCTTTTTTTCTTCTGCTGTTCTGACACTTCTCTCTTTTTAGAAGCGTCACTAGTGTAAACATTATAGACTAGTCATGAGCAATCGCTTTCGTGGTCGTTGATATCCTTTTTGAACTCTCAATGGTTGTTTTACTATTCATTCTTTTTGCTTTTGATTGGTGCGTCAGTCCGTTAGGTCTCCAACACTACATCATATTCTGAGGATTGTTTTGTTTTCTGCATCCTTATTACTTTGCTTCAGGGTATCAGACGTGTAATTTAAGTGATGTATCCGTGTCATTCATTAAGCTTTCCATTCCTGGGTAACTTTTCTTAGTCTCATTCCCTAGAAACACAGGTAGCCGTAACAAATTTGTGAATATTTCATAGAATAATCCTGTTACCTATGATCCTCTAGTGAAATGGATATCAACGTTGTAATACTGACTACGTATTATAAAAAATAGCAATTAGTTTCTCATTCTCAAATGAAGTGAACTGATATCGAAAGATAGTTGCAATCGACAAATGAAAAAGAAAATATCCCTTAAACGAAAAACTTCTTAAAAAATTGATGCCAGCGGAAATTTGACTAAAATTCTGCCCATTTTAACCACTGATCAGCTACAGGGAGGACCCAGCTGATCCACCTATCTCACAAAATCACAGCTCTAATCGCCTTCCATCATTTAACAATGAGTCATTTTACTCAGTGAGACAATCACAGTGCGTCACTCAGTCGGGTGATGTCGGCCTACAAATGACACGGGTCTCCGTCACTCAGTTTACATGGGCATTGCTGAAGGCGAAGATGCACAGAGAGAATGCACTCACCAGGGGATGCGGGAATTCAATTCACGTCACGCCATCCGGTGTCTGCAGACAGCCAACCAATCGACGGAGTGACCAATCGGTCGGCTGTGATCAATCAACTCGCCTATTTGACTATGTGTGTCGAGTTGTAGTGTATGGATGGATGATTGTGAAGAAAATATGGAACGCTTCACGATTTTGCGTGTCATCCTTGCGCAGGGGCCATGCTAATCTTCTCTGTATCGTTCCAATTTTAGTATATGTACCGCCGAAGCGAGTACAATCTCTGACTACCACTATATCCCTCTTAGACCACCGAACAACAAAATATCAATTATTCATACATTTGCACATCTTACACTAAAATCAATACAACCAACCCAGTCAACATCAACACACATTACATCCCATCATCTCAACACAAATACAACACAAACAAACACCAATCAACCACCACATACACATAATAAGCCACACTCGAACATTCAAGGCATATCAGCAGTATATCAAATCGCGTCTGAAATACTCTCACGTCAACTCCCGTGAGAAGAAGTCAAATCACATATAATATTGATTGCACCGCTGATCCCACTCATCTCACCTTCGACATGACAACAAGCAAATGACCCAATCGTACAGAAATGCTGTAAAAATAGGTGAATAATCGGCGAATAATTGGAATGGCGAATAGTAGGAGAAAATGGTTGAATTTCGGTTATGTGACGTAATTTTTCCCATTCTCACGATTATGTGACCAATATTTCACCATCTCGACTATTATTTAATCAGGATTCGCCGATTATATTACCATCCCAGCTAGCAACGATTTCCAGAGAATGGCAGAAATTTTTGGGCAGTAGTCGGGCGCATCACAGATATTTTAGAAGGAGAATTCGGGCGCATTGCAGATATATTGGAGCAGACTTCCGGCGCACTGCAGACATTTTTGGGCAGACTTCGGGCGCATTGCAGACTTATTGGGGCAGACTTCGGGCGCATTGCAGACTTGTTGAGGCAGATTTCGGGCGCACTGCAGACTAATTGGGGCACACTTCGCGGCGAATACTCAAGATCGGCAAAGCGCCCAAAGTATTTTGCCCCGAAAAGTCTACAGTGCGCCCGAAGAAAATGCTAGCTGGGACAGGGAGGACCCAACTGATCCACCTATCTCACAAAATCACAGCTCTAATCGCCTTCCATCATCTACCAATGAGTCATTTTACTCAGTGAGACAATCACAGTGCGTCACTCAGTCGGGTGATGTCGGCCTACAAATGACACGGGTCTCCGTCACTCAGTTTACATGGGCATTGCTGAAGGCGAAGATGCACAGAGAGAATGCACTCACCAGGGGATGCGGGAATTCAATTCACGTCACGCCATCCGGTGTCTGCAGACAGCCAACCAATCGACGCACTGACCAATCGGTCGGCTGTGATCAATCAACTCGCCTTTTTGACTATGTGTGGCGAGTTGTGGTGTATGTGTAAGCGCAATATCGCTTGAAATTAAGTCACGCGTAGATATAGGCTATCCCGGTCCAGAACAAACAAGAAGCCGGTTTCTGTTTCAACGGTACTATTATAAACAAATCAATTAATGTATATACAACAAACCTTAACGGTTTCAAGAGTACAATACACAATGCTTAACAGAAAGCAAAGCACCGCTATCAGAGCGGAATAACGTTAAAGCCAAAATTACGAACTAGCCGGATCAGACACGACCGTTCAGGTAAGCAGTCAGTAGAAGAATGAACCCAAATAAGAGATAGACAAAGCATAGGCACAAAGATAGAATTTAATTGGCTACTTAACCAATCAATAAATAAGATAAACTCAACAGAATAATACAAAATAAGACATGGGGCAGCAAAATAACAGTTCACAAAAATACTCTGATTGGGTCATGAGTTCAACTGTCTGACTAAAAGGATCGAAGTAAAAACACACATACACAGTTAATTAAACAAGGTGGGATAGACACGTTGGGCATGGATAATTGTGTTGCAACAATGCTAGGCTGATCCGGGACAGGATGACTTGATTTAAGGATGGGAATGGAATTCATCTTACACCGGCCCCCAAAATCTGACTAGCATTTTATGAATCATGTTATACCGTATAACTCTCGTGTCCAGCTCTCTT